AAGACATGAATTTATCAACCCTGTTTTAGAATTAGCACAATTTTCCATCTCTGATAGGGATATGTGTATATTTGCAGATATGCATATTTGAAGTCGACTACACAGGGAAAGTCCATTTTAACTAGAGCTGACAGAAATAAGCCACTTAACATTTTGAAACTGTCCTTTACAGGTAGCCCTTGTTTTAAAATCATTTCATCCATCAAAGTTTCAACGGCATTGGAAAAAGTAACGGCCAGTCCTTGCAATTACAACTATTGCAGCATCCCCATGGTCGTGTGATCAAAATTATGATGCTTGGCAACTGCCATGTATTTACAACAGTTTCAGCATCCCGTGGTCATGTGATCGCCATCAGCGACCTTACCTGCTGCCTTCTGACAAGCAAAGTCAATGGGAGAAGATGGATTTGCTTAACGACCATGTGATTCCCTTAACAACTTTAAAAAACTTCCCATGACTCACTTAACCACTGCTTTGCTTAGCAATAACTAACTAACTAACTAACTAACTAACTAACTAACTAACTAAATAAATAAATAAATAAATAAATAAATAAATGGATTTCATTTCTAAAATATAACATGCAAGATCATATAAAAGGGCAAGATGTAGTGGGATGAATTCTTGGATGTGAACTTAACCATGACTTTAAAGAAAGAAACCTTGACCATCTTGTTGAAAGTCCTGCAACAACTGGCCTTTCGGCTTTCCTCCACCCAATGTGGTTGTTCAGAGGACATGTATGGTTAAAGGGGAAAAAAAGCAGCTTTGAAAATGGCTTTTGCTACCAAGTAATGGAGCAATGCTATCTAAGTAAGTAACAACCCTTGAGTAGATCTTCTCTGCGATGGCTACCATGTTCTTTTATTGGAATACAATGCAACAGGATTGAGCTGAATTTGGGAAAGAAACTGACTTGAGCACCTGAATGGTAAGTTGGGGTAGACTGTAAATCAATCAAGCATGAAGAAATTCCAGGCCATTAATGCTAAAAAGTAAACAATTCCTCAATACAGACCCAAAGAGTAAAAAAAGCAAGTGTGTATTTTTTTTAAGGGCATGTCAAATTCTTTGTAATTTTCTGCGTGAGAGAATGATGACATTTTATATGTGATCAGTGAGAGGATAAGCAAATGTGTCTTCAGACAGCTGTCTAAACTGTAAAGGAAATACTGCAGTTGTTATGAAAGTGGAAGGGCCTAATATAGCAGAACACTTGCATTGCGCTAGACAAAAGATAAAATTTATGCAATGCCTTTGAGAATTGCAAAAGATCATATAAATAAAAAGGAGAACATTTCCAAAATAGCTCTCCTTTGGTTTAAAGGTTTCCGAATTAAACTGGTACTTTCAAGAAACTGAAAAGAGCGGAAGTATTGAGTACTTTGACAGTATGTGCATAATGGAGTTAATCCAATGGACCAGATGAAACCTGAGCTAGGTTCAACTACTACTTCGTACTGTGTCTCAGTGGAATATCCAAGCAGGATTGGTCTAGATTAGCACTTGGGTGAAAGACTACCTTGGAATTCCAGAACTGTTGACTGGACAGGAAGTCAAAACAAATATCCCAGAAGAGGACAAACAACTTCCATTCCTGACAAGAAAACTGCACGGAAGTGGCCATGGAAATCATCTGAGTGAAATTTGTCTTGAAGGAGACTTTACCTTTTATTTAGGGGTTCAAGATGTCCATGAGGTTTCTTTGGTTTTCATCTTGGTATATTATATGAATGAACTCATGCAGTATATTTAGAAAAAAAAATGTCTAAAGCAAAAGGATGGGGCCAGGCATGGTCTTTGTTGTCCACTGCTCTGTCTCATTTGCAAATTTTTTTTTAGAGGGGTATTAGTCCAGATGTCGTTATTTTTCTTTTGCAACTTTCCTCATTGCTGTTCATATGCCCCCCTCCCCCAAAGGAAAGAAAGTCACAGTAGCTCTATAGATATTAGGAGATTCCTTCACTTGTACGCAAATGATATTTCCACAGCTGAAGTTGAGTTTTTCCAATTTCTTCTCTGCCTCCTTTGCCTAGATACCTGGATGGAAACTAGGCCTATTTTAAAACTGGAAACAATCCTGTTTGGCTGCCGCTTCTTCTTCTACTACTGAAAAATTGTGAAACAATATGACCAAATAAAACTATAACAGTATTATTTGCATGTAATTTAAAACCCTTCTCAGAATTTAAATGCCTTTATTTGTCAGAGGTTAGCTTCATAGTACAAGCTGTCTGTTCTGAAATGTAAGATATAATCCTGAAATGAATATAATTCTGGACATGGTAAGAAAGCACTTCAGATTTCAGAAGATCTCAATTTTCACTTGTTCTTCCGGGCCCATGCTTACTGTACATGCATCACCAAGTCTTCACTGTCATTGTTTAATCAAGTACAGTATGAATAATTGAACTTCTGCAGCCAATGACCATCCAGTTTGTAAGGAACTTCCTAATGTATCAGGATGTGTTTCCAAAAAGTGTGATTTATCATGCATATGCATTGCCAGGTTGCCCCATCACAAGTATGACTCATACATGTCACCTTCTACTTATCTGTAGCCCCTTGCCAATGTGATCTCTGCCATGATTTGGTGATACCTGATGTCCAAATGTACCAAATCTAACATTTGCTACACATACAATAAAATGAAACAATATTTACTAGGAAAAAAAAAAAGTGAGGCAAGTTCTAGAAACCCCAGTATATGTTCTCAAGGCAGAATTTCAAGAAGCTAAACAAATAGGAATTCCAGCTACTGCAAGACTATTTTCATTACAATACTTCAAATCTGAATAATGATAAAAAGATACACATAGCATATATTATACACTTATTGAAAAAACTTTATTAGTGGCTTAGCATGTAGTGTATTTTAAAACTTTCTAACAGCCGGATCTGTTTTATTATACAAGTTACATAAGTAAAGACAAATGGGCTCATTGATCTTAATTTCATTATGAAATTAATATAGTATTTTTCATTAGATGAACTTTTTATGATTCCTGTATTCCCTCTGGTAGGATCAGCCGTAGTTCCCTTTAATTTTAACCTAGTCACTTTGTACATCGCTAAATAGTCTATCTTTTTGACATTGCTATATTTTGTTTTTAGAAATCTATCTACTCTATCCAAATAAACATGACACTAGCTCAAACCTATTATCCTTCATTTGAAAGCATTTGACTGATTTGATGAAACAAGAGTTTCAGCAAATTTTGTTATGTAGGCAGGTTTTCAACATAGAAGGGGACTTCTGCAAATTGTCATCACTATGCTATTATTTATAATGGTCCCAAATTCTTCTAAAATATCCTCAGCCTTCAGTGTAAACATTTTTAGATTTGATCTTAAGAATTTACAGTTACAAAGAGAAATGTTATATTTAAGAATCACTTTTTCATTCTTAAGACTTATTTGTTGGATTTGACTACCATCAAATATTTATTTCATTGCGTTCTGTGTAAAAACTGAATAGAATTTGCACTTTGAGTCAGGAAACAGTTGGTTGTGAGCAAAATTACATAAGAGACAGTGCTCCCAATTTCTCATTCTTAAAGAGTAAAATTGGAGTGCTATTTCAATTACTAAAGGGTACTATAAAAATAACAATTCAGTTTCAGGTCCAACATTCCTTTGCTTTCTACAATATCTTACAGCTGCCTGTAAGAGGTGCTACAAGACTAGTTCTACCACATTATAAATTATTTTCACTCTGGGTGGTAGATTAGTATTTGCAGTAGTCCACCCAATACCCACAGACCTGCTATCCAGACCATATCTTTCATTATAACTAAGGCACAGAGGGCCATAGACATTGCTCTAAAGGCAACTGTGGAGAAATGCATTGTGAGATCATGTCTACGGAAACTATCTTGTACGGACAGCTGCAGTAATCACCTCAGTTTACACAGCTCTGAGAAATCCTCAGATATTTTTTTACAGACCATCTGGGCAATGAATGAGTGGCAGAAGCCACGCAGAAGAGAATGATGGAGAGAGTCCTGGTTTATCTTCCACCTCAAGAGGCAAGTCTTAGTCCTGCTGCTACCTAATTAGGTAGCAAGTCCTCCTAGGATGTCTCTGGGCAGCTGTCAATCTCTTTTTCTCCACTTATACACTAGCATTTGGACAGACTGAGTACCATGACATACCTTTTGTTTGAAACATCAAGAAAAATTGGGGGGAAAGAGCTTGTTGTACCCATTCTCACATACAGACCCTTTTAGCAAGAAAAAGATAACCCCCACCCCCAAACAATGCATTTGATCACCAGAAAATAGACTTGCTTCTCAGTCATTCATTTTTGGGACGGTGATATCAATCTTCCCTAAAATCTGGGACAGATCCTAAAATCTGGCAAATAAGTCTCAGCTCTCATTATTAAAAAAAAAAAACCTTCTCCTTGATACAAGACCACAAAGAAATGCCTTTTTGATCTGATCTTTTAGGTTCTTTCCATTTCACATTAAGGTATTTGGCCACAAGAAAATTGGATTTTTGTTGCAACTTACAATCTTCCTTCTGCTCTTTATTAATGACAATTAAAATTTCAGGGATGAAATAGTCAGACAACAACACTTTTATACCTCACTGATTTCAGTGTGAGGATTAAATGCATCTGCATATACACAACATGTTCCAAACACTAATAAAACACAAGGTATAAACAGTTATTTCTTTCTGTTATTTTGATATAGTTCTCATTGTTATTGGCATTGCAATGTAAGTTAAAACTGTTTCATTCTTTGCTCAGAAAATGTGTGTCCCAAAGTGAAGTGATGGGGGAATGGATCATTAAACTGAAATGCATTTGAGGTGAGGAGAAAAGACAAAGCTTTAGGCCCTAAATGAAAAGGCAATGGAGCACTTATGAAGCTTAAAGAAGTGGAAATGATTTGTGTTAGGACGTCATAAAAGCATCAATTGATGAATGGCTAATTGGGTGACCTAAATGACTTGTCCAAATATTTTTTTTCAACTTCCAACGTGAGCTGCTTATACTTTTTTTTAAAAAAAAAAGGAAAAAGGAAAAAAAATGCTAGCCTAGAGAATTTTTGTGGGCTGGGCACTGGTGAATAAGCACTATAATCCTTTAGTGAATATGAAGAACTTGTAAAACGTGTTATTCTCCTTGCTTCAAAGGCTGTCAACAATGTTGTCAATAGCTTCACAACTAGGCATTCACCTAGCACGAAATTTATCTTAGTGGGATTTTGTTCAGACCACTGAATGATCACTGCTGTGCACACCAGCCAAAATGGTGTGATTCAGTGAGGAGGCCGAGCGGTCAGAGCCTTCGGTGGGTCCGTTGGCGCTCTCACTGCGCTGACAGCAAAGAATCTGCTTGAAGGTGGCACTCATTTCTTTGTCTCGGTAAGAGTAGATGATGGGGTTCATGGCAGAGTTGAATTCCGCGAGCAGCAAGAAGAACTTTTCATACGCTAGAACATCGCACTGTGGGCAGCAAACATCAAGAAGAAGCAGAACTAATCCTGGAGTCCAGCAGATTATAAAAGCACCTGGAAAAGACAAATAAAAACACATTTGGTCTTCTAGATATTATTTAATTATTATATTATATAACTGTTATATAATAATAGTTATATTTTATATAACTAGTATATACTACTACTACTACTACTACTACTACTACTACTACTACTACTAATAATAATAATAATAATAATAATAATAATAATAATAATAATAATAATAATAATAATAATAAT